ACCAACCAAAAATCGTAAAAATTTCAAAAAAAAAATTAAAATCCAAATACCTGCAACTAAATTGCCCCTTGGTTTATTATAGCATTTCACACCAAGAAGTACTGAAAGCAAAAAAATCTAATCTTTTCACACCCCCAAATCCAAATCGCGTTACTTAAAAACCCTAACATAGGGTCAAACCGCCGGAGGAATCTCCACTAACCTTAGTCCCGCATTGGCGCACAATAATAGCCCCCGGCTTCGCAGTCTGATCGCCGTAAATCTTGACGCCAAGCCTCTTCCCACTCGAATCCCTCCCATTCTTCGTGCTTCCCGCACCTTTCTTGTGAGCTGACTCAATTGTCATCGGCAACCTCGCCGGAAGTGACACGGCAGCACCACAGCCGGCGCTGAGTTGCCTCCGATCTCCCCGAAGAAACGAGCTCGACAGCGAGAGGCTTTTAAAGGTTCCGATCAAGTTGAAAGTCACGGTAGCCATGTCTATCTCTCTTCTTCCCTCTCGCTGCTGGAAACACACAGCTGGGTTCGGTCGGATAATGAATTCCAAAAATATATTAAATTTTAACTTTTTTTTTTTACATTTTATTCATTAATTTCTGGATGAATATTTAATGTTTAGGTAGTTAAGTTCTAAGTTCAATTGTCTCTAATACCTCTTTTATTTAATGTTCTATGTTTTCATTAGTTGTTTCCTTTAGCTGGATGGTGGATCTTTATTTGTCTTCTTTCTTGTTGTGAGAGCGTTGGTGGAGCTAACTTTGCTGGTGGCTTCGGTTCTTCATGTTTTTGTTGATGTTGTTGGTCGTGTTATGTTCCTGTTAGCTAATTAGATTGTGTTTTTTTCTTAGTTTAGTTGGTTGTGGAGCCTATTTGTGTATGCCAACTTTCTTTTTTGAGTGAGTGTAATATGATTCTTATTGTAACTCGCTCTTTTATTTTCAATAAAGTTGGGTCTGACCCTCAAATTTCCCTAAAAAAAAAACTTGGATCTCATATACAATTGTCACATATTTAACATATAAATTTTATTTTTTTTACATTTATCTAACTTAAAATTTTTCATATCACATAAAAAAATCAGTATCTTAGCTCCAAAATTGAAAAACACATTTTCATGCTTATATAAGGTGATATATATAAATAAAATTTGTGTTAGATATGAAAATAAATAAACATGAGTTTTATTGGATTTACATACATATTGCCTAGTTCTTCATAAATAAAGTATTTAGCACATATAATCTTATATTTACAAGCATGACAAATAATTTTTTTATTAACGCTACAAGTTTACCACTCCACTGACATTTTTCTATCTTTGGAAAACAATATTTCTCTTTCCCAAAATCTCTCAAGTAGGGATTTAAGTGAGAGTGAGTCAAGTACACTTGTGAGCTTGCTCAAGCTCGGCTCAATAAATGACTCAAGAACTAAGCTCGATGAGCTAACAAGCCAAGCTCAAGCTAACCCTAATTAGGCTTGTTAGCTCGTGAGTCGGCTCGTTTAAGAAAAATATTGATATAAAATATATTTAAAATATATTAAACTTGAAGATTTTATCTTTAAAATATTTAAAATATTTAAAAAATAAAATTTGGTCTTTTAGATTAAATGATTTCTTAGCATTTCTCTTCTAATTGGTCATTTTTATTTCTCATTTTATTACGACACTAACTTAAATTTTTATTTCTCATTTTTATTTCTCATTTTATTATGACACTAACTAAAACTAATAGACTTAAGTTGGAACTCTAACTCGATAAAATTAGTCAAGTTAAGCTTAAACTAAGGGTGATTGATGGCAGGCGTTCGGCTAGAACTAATAGTAAATATGCAGTTCAATCCCAATAAAAATAAATTCAGTATAAATAATTTTATCTTTTAAAAACTTTAAGTTGTCAAACCAGTAATAATAATGCAAGTATACGTATCGCTCAAGTAATAAAATGCTCTAATGCAGTCCTATATATCGATCCCACAGGGAGTTCAAAATTCTTATGGTTATAATGTCAAACACAATATTCAAACTATAAAACTTCGGTAAGCAAAACAAATTTAAATTAAATTTAAGGTGCGCAAAATGAAATGCAGTTGAAAGAACTAAGTTAATTAAACTAATTGCTAAACTTCAAAAGTAAAATTATAAAGACTAAACAAAGTTTTGAAACGAAGAATTCAAATTTAAGAAAGCATCATTCCACTTTACAATGAGTTTATGAAATGTGAATAAATTAAAAACATTTAAAATACATATAAAATTGTATTGTGTCAAATAGGAGAAATCATATTTTTTACCCTCTGAGAGTGCATAAAAAACAATGACTAATCCAGAGTTTGGTCCCTAAATTCATGGTAAAGTTGAGAGGATATTGGCTGGCACTCCAGAGCTCTCACTTCTCCCTCGCCTAAGGGTTAACAATATCATCTTAGTTTCCAAGCAACTGGACCAAATTGGGGATTTTAATCTGTCACCTTAAAATCTTCAATTCTGCACCCATCAAAGTATGTTTATCTATTTATTTGCACGTAACATCATGGATAACATTCTCACTCATGAATGTTACTCAACCTCTTATTAAGTTTATTTGCATGCAACCTCATAGATTACAACCTCATAAATTACATTCTCACCCATTGAAAGTGACTCTTACCCTGTTGTAGAAAGCATGGCCCTTTCGGATCGTATGTTTTTCAACAAATTTTAACCTTTCAATTGGTCAGATCGAAAAGTAATTGAATATCAGAATTCAAATCATCTCAATTTATTAACATTTAAAATCTTATAAAACAAAACTAATTCTTCACAAAAACATATTTCATTGTAGGGAGAAAGATAAAGAAGACTACTCATAATTCATAAAAAAGATACAATAAAACATGAATTTCATACATAAAAACAAGTTTACAAAACAACAAAAGAAAAGAACACAACTTATCTCACACTCCTTCCCAAGCAAATTCGTAGAAGTTCCCTTTAAGCACTTTCTCTTTTTACAATCACACTCAATTCTCTCTTAGAAGTGTAACGACGAAGAAATCTCTCACCTTCCTTCTCCTCTTATAACCCTAGAAGAAAATCCCCACTTCTCTCTCACACCAAAACCATTATCTCTATCTTACGCCCCCTCTCTTTTCTAAAATTTCCACCTTTTTAATTAGAGCCCAAAAAGAATTCAAAATTTCCTCCATTTTTTCCCTCAAAAGTCACAACTTTTTGCACCAAGAGATAAGTTCCTTAATCTAAGAGACAAATCTCTTCATTAAAGAACCTTCCAAAGTGTCTAGATGCATTGAACCACTCAGTTAGAAGTTTGAAATTTTTGGAGCCTTAAAAAACTGCTAAAAAATAGTCACGAACCAACTTAATCCATCTTAATTCTTCTCTGGCGCTTCAAGCGCCAGTTTGGCACCTCTGACGTTAGCCTAATAAAGTTCGTGTTGTTCTCTGGATTATGGCGCTTCTGGCGCCTCTGACGTCGCTTCATGAAGTTCGTGTTGCCTCTAAATTCTGGCATTGCTTCTCTGTAAAATAGCGCCTCTGGCGCTAGTTTCTAGTACTTCTGACACTAGCTCTCGAGAAAATGGTGCCAATCTGGTGCCAGGATCACGAAATCTCCACTTTGGCTCCAAATTTTCTCTTGTTTGCTACTTTTTGCTCTAAATGGCTAAAATAGATATACTTGCAAAAAAATATGAAAATACCCTTTTTAAAAGTGAAATATCACTAAAATAAACATAAAATGAATACATAAACAGTATATTATTTTGGTGTATCAAAATCTCCCAAACTTAAATTTTACTTGTTCTCAAGTGACTTTTTTTCTACATAAAAGTATGACTTACGGCAGAGATTAACTTATAACTTCTATAATTTGTTTTAATAAATATAATAGTATAACTTAAGTTAAAACTAAATGTATGAGAACATCTAGTAATCAAGTTTAAGAGTTTTGAATCTCTATTTATTTCAAGAAGAATTGTAATTTATCATATCAAATATACTTAGAATATTCATATGAAAAAGAATTTCATAAAAACTTTATTAGTAATAATGCTAATACTAGGATACAAGTTTAGAAAATTTAATAAAGTCTTTTTCTTCAAGTTGATTCAAGTGAAGCCAATTTTTTATTAGGCATTTCCTCAAGCTTGTTCTCACGTTTTTTTTTTCTTCAGGTTCTTTTTCAATCATTTTTTTTTTCTTTTTTATGTGAGGATTACTATATATGAACAACCTTTAATAATTTTGAACTTCACTATCCTCTTCCTAAAGTCAAAATTTTTTACATTCCTTCACTTTATAAATTCATACTAGCTTTGAAGATTTTTTTAATGTTTTTTTCTTTTCTTCTTACATGAAACTCTAAGATTATTAATACTTCAAAAATATAATTTTCTTTACTCTAAATAGAAAAACATAGTCTTATTCTTTCATACTAAATATCTTAACTCTAGAATTGACCTTCATTATTGAAGATTTTTGCTTAAATTTACCAAAATATTTACAAACAAAAACATAGTTATTTAAAATTAAACTCTAATATCAATGATCATGTTAGTTTAATTTTTAAAAGTATAGTTAATTGAGGATAAATAAAATTTAGTTCACTTTTTTTCAAAAAATTTTTCTTTCCCCCAAACTTAAGTTTTAAAATAATAAGTAAAACGTGTAGTACCAAAAAAAACTTGCAATTGAAAGAAAACAATAAGTGCATAAAAATAAAACTAACCAATAAAGGATTCTGAATATGAAACTTGGTTCTTGATGTTTTGCAGGTGCTACTTAAAAAGTACATGCTTTAAAGCATTAAATGAGACATAATATATCAAAAGATACATCACTAGAAGTAGTTGTTATAAAACATAAAATTATATTATCAACACAAAAAGGGGGTCAAGTTTTTGGCTTTTGTCAATGAGTGAAATTAAAGAGGATATGCACTAAGAAAGTTCATCAAATTGCGGTATCATTGAGCAAAGTAATTCGATGATATAACTTATCACACTCTTCAACTCTTGAGCCCAAGTTCAATAAGGTTATGCACAAACAACCCCTATACCTGTAAAATTCAACCTAATTCTTAATATGCATGGTAGATATAAGTTGCAGAATGTATTTGATATGTTTTACAAAATATTAACTTTAAAATTTTGTTAAATGCTTCATGTCAATGATCACCTTTAGTAATAGTCGTTGTCTAACTCTGCTGTTGGATCATTTTTGGTCGACTTTCATCATGAGTGTGTAGTTTTTTTATCGTCCTGAATGATTGTTGTCTCCTGACCATCATTTAGTTGCTACATCTAAATCGTTTTAACTGTTCATTTCTTCTTTGATCTTTCCAACTAAATTCATAAGAAGTCAAGCATATTTATGTACTTTGTAACTGAAGGAAAGACCAAAGTTTAACAATATAATATAACAAATTACTTCATTTGAGTCAAGTCATTTGGTTCCTTCATACGGTCATTTTTTATGCGGTCCTTCTTTCATACTGAATAAAATAATATTTTCACTAACATCATTTTAAAT